GGAGTGTCGTGCCAACATCGGTGTCCGGAGTAGTCTCGGAGGATGGTCCAGACGACTTATAGCCAAAACCAGAGGTGATGATGAGGTGATCAAAGACCAAGATGGATTCCTGGTAATCGTGGCCGGCTTTCAATGGGTGAAAGTATAGGAGGCCCACAGATCTATAAAAATAGCCTCTGTAGTATTTTGAAACCTTATTGCTAACCCTCAACAAAAGTATTCCAGCAAGAAGAAATGAAGGAACTTACCCCAATATGGAAAGGCCTCACTTTCAAAAACGAACGGCTAATGAATTGACTTCATCATCGACAGCCAAAGAGTATCAAAGCTGAAGTGGAGAGTGGAAGGACACATTCGGCGCCTTCTCTAGAAATTTCTCCCCAAAACCTATTTGAAAAAAACAACTTTTCTCTTGCGCATCCAGATAAATCGGAATCGACGAATCATAATTTAGGCGTCTGTCACGTGACTCAGTCACTGTCAGCTGATTGGCCCACAATGGAGAATCTACGACACCATTCGAGTCCAAACGAAACGCCAACAACCAATCAAACCATAGGACAATCAGAATGACACATATCTCACAGGTCACAGGGCTACGACCATCTAAGGTGAACGGGTTCTGCGTGCTATGGGCTGCTACTAGTCGTTTCGTGTCTGTCAGTTATGTTCCATGTAACAGACCGAAGAACTTGGGAAGAAGACTTAAGGTTTAGTGCTCATCAACTGGATCAAAACAAGAAAGAGAAGAATAAAAAATAACGTCATACTACATCTGTCAAGGCGATGAAAAATAAAATGTAAAACAATAACAAATATAAATTTCGAATGATACTACAGATCTAAACCAGGACTTCACCTTATCAATAGCCTTCCTCACCAGCTGTCATAAAGAGACCATTACCATCAACATTCTGAATAAAAAAATACTACATGTACTGTAGCAAGTTATTTATGAGAGACAGGTAAGTTACTTCTGAATTACTTTAAGTTCAAATAAACTTCAATAACCTTTCGGATTTTCCTAATTGAGGTATTTCGCTATGATAGAAGGAACACTTCCTATAGTATTTCCACCTACAGGTAAATCAATGCATTTATATCTTTTGTAGGTTGACAAAAACCTACGTTGTTTACATCCTTCTGGTCGTAGTGCAATGTACTTTCTAACTATAAGTTCATGGCTCCTATTTCGCTTCCTTCAACAATGGTGAAACTTATTGAGGTGCAGCTCTTGGTTTCTGGTACCTTGATCAGTAAACTGGCTTCTTCGTCTTGTTTTCAGAACATTCCATCATACTATTATAATGTATATCACAAAATCACTCAAAAATGGGTTTACAGAGTTTCTTCATCGATTCAGTAGTAAATAAATACTTTATACTGATGAATCACTACGTTTATTGCTTGCTCACATATAAAATAACTGCAAAGCATATTGAGTTCGTAATAAAAATCATTCCTGGGGCACTGAAATTGGACATCCTATATCTTGTTCAAGAATATAACTTGTTCTTCTTGAAGGAAAAGTTCTATTTGGAAACTAGGTATATGGTGACTGATTTCAGTGCCTGATGAGGATCAATTCTCATAAAAAACACAATGTTTTGGAAATGTTCTTATGGAAACGAAGAATTTCAGCAAAAAAAAAAGAGTTTAAGCCACTTATCAAAAATTCAAATTATCGAAAAACACCTTGTAACTCTGAAACGAAGCTAGATAGCGATACGCAGTTTTCACCATTGGGTTTGTCATGTTAATTCATCAATTGGCACCGATATAAGTTCATTCCTACGACCACCTATGAAAACAGCACAAAACACATTAATTTGTTATTGAGAAAGTAACTCGTTTCACTATGACAACATATAACAGTTAGAAAGTTCCAAATTGAAACTCACATGGGTGGATATATTCGAAAATTGCACAGTAACAGGGTCTAAAGATTATGATGTACCAATGAATGATTATTATGCTGAATTATGGTGAGTTAAGTTATGGTCAAGTTAATGGAAAGTTATTGTGGATTCAACATGAGTTATTGTCGTTAATGTTGACGTAACGTTAAAAGTTGATGAAAAGTTGGAATCAAGCTAATTTCAATTGAAAGTTGAATTAATGTCAATGTATTGGCAATTTAGTGATCAATGTGAAGTTGATGTCAATTTGATATTGAGTTGATGTTAATTTGATTTTAAGGTAATGTCAAGTTAATTTCGAGTTAATGTTGATTTAATGTTGAGTTAATGTTGAATAATTATTGAGTTAATGTTAAGTTGATGTTAAGTCAATGTTAGGTTAATTTTGGGTTAATGTTGAGTTCATATTGAGTTAATGTTAAGTTAATTTCAAGTTTATGTTGAGAAACTGTTAAATTCAATGTTAAGTTGATGTTAAGTGGATTTTGAGTTGATGTTAAGTTGATGTTGAGTTATTGTTGAGTTCATATTAAGTTAATATTGAGTCAACTTTAAACTATAATTATGTCATTTAAATATTGAAGTAAAATTGAATAATAATGATGATGATAGCACCTTCATGTGATCGAATATGATTAGAAACATGATCCCCACTCTGGTCTTATAAACACTCATGACATATAATATAAATATTTGTGCTCGTAGGAAAAATAGGGTACAAAACACGTTGGAAAGTGCATTTCCTGCGCTCGTTTCGTTTCCGCACTCGTTGCTCTGCGGCTCGTGCTAAACGTCCACTCGCGCGAAATATGTCACTTTCCACACTAGTTATGTAATATACTATTTCCTATCTAGTACGGGAATAAGACTCTCCCTTCAGAAGTCTCCAATTTGGCCAACCCTGTACAGTGTAGATAGGTACAAAAGACCTCTCTTAAAAATTGAGAAATATCTAGTCGAAGAAACCGGAAGTGAATAGGGTCACCAGGCAAAGTGAATCACCCTGCAGTGGGAAATCAACCGAATTGACGTGGGTGGATTCCAGTAGAGCCATCCCTTTTATCCGACTAACTTGTACATATTATACGATGCTCAGAGCTTCCCATCGCTTGTCGGAATTTCAGTATCAGAAGTTGTTGCGGTTGCTGTTGCAAGTTGTATATTGTAATATATGTTACATTAAATCGCTTTATATACACGTACCTATATACAGGATGAGGAAATGGCGCTCGTGTCCTATGATAGTTAGAAACATGTTTTACAAACGAACGGAAACTAGACAATAGGGTTTATAACGAGAAATCATTGCTGAAAAAAAGGTGCACCAAGAGTCTAGAGAGTCCTGGAAACATTCTTGCATGAATTGAATGTCATGAAGGTATATAAGAATATGTTTTCAAGTATTCCAGTCCTATTCATATGCACCTTCAATGATATAGATTATACACAGTAAAAAACAGCTTCGAGTGAAATCCGTAGAGTATGTTTTTAGAGTTAAAATACTCTGACAAACTCACTCTAATACTGCAATCAACTCTATTACTACACTTCTCGCAGATTATCTCCTTTGAAACTAATTCTAGATTGAATTTTCACTATTCTCGTATTGAATTCATTCTATATTTCTCAAATTTCAATAAAATATCAATTCAGATAACTCAATTCACAAACAATTGAAATTGAATTCATATTAGTGTTTACTGACACTAGTGAACTTGAATATTCCTCTCTTGTCGATTAAATTGATACTCTATCATTGTTCAATTCAATCTATATACGATGAAATATCAATCTATACAGTTTCAGATCGTTCAGTCTACTAGATAGTGCATGAAATAAGTAGGTAATACAGTGTCGATGATAATATATTGATCATGATATTAGCGTCAAGTTGTTTTTTTACTATACCCGTGTAGTGGGAGATTTTTTTCAACATTGAGTTATGAACGTATTTTCTTTCGTATACTTGTCTCAGTTATTTCCCGTTTTTTCCGTTTCGAATTATTATTTCGAAAGATTTATGAAACAGATATAGGTTAACTAATTAGTCTAGTGGGACTCGAGTCATTTTTCAAATATCAAACGATTAAAATATTATAAAGTCACACTACTTCTCATCCGTCAATTCTCGCCACTGCATAAAGGTGGCGCTGTGGAAACTTCGCCGCTGAACGTCTGTCGGGGGCCTATGAATACTGTGACATGTGGAAGAATGGTTAATTTAACTTGGATGAAATATCAACAGGAACTAGTGACTAGTTTACCCAACTAGTGTTCTATATCAAATCTAAAATGATGAATGAATGATAACTCCTTATTAGCACCTGAACAAATAGTAGTGTCAATTTGAACAATGCCGGAGCAATTTGACATCCACGTAGAGTAAAAAATTCAACCAATTCCCAGTGGATCCGACACTGTTTATAGTGTGGAATCTACTCTCTACTATTACATTACAACTCTGAACTTTTGTGCCTATGTAATATTCGGCTATTGAATTTCACTCTGAAATGATGATATTGATACTAGCTTGGGTCTTGAGTGGAATATTCACTCTCGAAATTGTTTCTTTCAACTCTATTTTTGTGTTTATTCAATATATTCAGAGAAATAAATAGAGTAAGTTTCAATGTGCTTGCATTGAAAATTTACACTAATTGAATTGAAAAAATCACACTATAATATACTAAACTATAGAGTTAAATCATTCACTCTATAGCTTAGTGGTCCTCCTGGGAACAGGTATAGTGTTAAATTTCACCCTATTTTTTTTACTGTGTATCTTGAACACTTCATAGTTATGATTTTTCTGTTGAAATACTGTCATCTGCAGATGACTGATGAAAAAGCTACGTGATCATGGAATTTCATAGATTATAATGTTCACGACTTCCTTTTGGAATTATTCGAGGAGACTGAAACTGATTCTTTGATTTGCAGCTTTTCGAATATAGCAACTCACGCCTCAGATTCATTATTACTACCCAGAATTCTATGAATATTCCGAATAATTACTCAGAACTCTAAGAAGAATCATTTTGGTAGCTGACGAATAGTTCGATCTGCATTGTGAAATGATATTCAAGTTGACCACAGCGATGGTTCTCCACCATTCCTCATCGATAAACCTACAACAATCATTTGTATGAGTTCGTCAATGAAAGATTACTAGGAAGTTCATTATTACTTTTGTTAAATTTCAGAATACGGATTTCATTCATCAGTTTCCTCATTGGCAAAGCTTTAAAACTGGTTGAGAATATCTTTCACCACCATATTGATAATATATTCATTTTTATTCATAATTCGAGAGATTTCGCTGATACTGTAGATAGAGTTCCTGCACAGATGTAAAGGATTTCTTCAATCTGAAGAATCCATTTGATTTAAATCGAATTGCTTCGTACAAGAATTTTTCATTCGAATGGAGCAATATACACTTGTCTCAAATCAATTAGTTTGCTTGCATCGTTTCTTGAAATTTCTTCAACAACCCGCGACTACCAGTGACATAAAATCAGATCTATATTAGCTCAAGAAACTCACTGCTTGTCTGAAGGGCATGCAGTGACAAATATACAGCGGTCGATGACAACTGAACGCCTGCGCCCAATCTACTAGTCAGTATATAATATAGTAAGCCGCCATTTTTCAGGGCCACTGTTGTTTCTTCTGATGACGGTGCATAACACATTTGTTTCTCAATGGTGAAGTGTTCAAAAATCAAGTGTGCTGAGTCATGATTCAATAATGATGTGGTATCATCTTCACAGCAATGCGACATTCCATATTTGAGTACAATCTGAGGGTAAGTAAATATACGTGTTGGTATAGGCATCCATTGCGAACAGTAACGAACTCTGAATTTTGTATATATTCGTAAAATAGTTGCACTGAGGTATTTTCCGTTTTTATTTTAACAAAAACTGGCTGAGAACCTCACATCAGTTCCAACGCATAAGGCCGTATACTTGTATATCATGCAAAACACATTCTTTCAGCAGTCACGATTTTACCAGTTGCATTCATTCGATAAACGCCCTGAGATCAGATGTTATGGTTGAAAACGGATGAATGGATTTAATGTTCCTGAAATTTTAGTAATGAATCTTAGTTACTAAAATTCTATTGTAGAATTACAAGTGCGTCATATTCCAATTATTCTCACCAAGAATATGTTTCTGTTAGTTTCATTTGAAACTATGAGGACATCTTATATCATATGTTATTGTCGAAAACACATTATTGTTTTCAATTTGCCTGAAATTTTATTGTTGAACCTTAATCACTAGAAAGGAAAACTAACTTCTATTGTTAAATTATTATGCGTCATATTTAAGTAAACTCTTCGGAAATATAGTTTCTTAGTTGAAGCTATGTAATATCAGATGCTATGGTTCAAAACGAATTATCGTTTTGGAGGCAATAAACTTTTTTTGTAAAAATAGGTATAGTGCGTCATATTTAACCAAACTCATCGCAAATATGTTTTTTCAAGTTTTATTCGAATTCAAAACTATGAAGACATTGGATTTCAGGAAACAAATTTATTATTCAAGGTTTATTGTCACATAATATAGTGATCGAAATGATTAATATATTTTATTTTATTTTCTGGTTCCTACGAAAAGGAATAGCCTGTAATGTTCAGAGAACATCATGAGAACCAAAAGAAATAAGGTAGGAAATGGTGTTCTTCTTGAATTTCTGAAGGTTATATGCCTCGGGGAAAACCTTCCTTGGCTATGTGTTCCATAGCCTCGCTGTTCGTTGGAAACACGAGTCTTCGAAAAGAGATGTTCTGCAGGTCTCCAAAGTGGCCACGAAGGGGTGCGAAGCCTCAACTAGACGGGTTAATCTCGCGGAGACTGCCAAGGGAGGAACAATTGTTGATATTTCAGGAGAGCGTCGTCCATGAAAATATCTATAAAACAGAGCCAGATCGCCTACTTTTTTACGGTGTTCCAGAGAAGTGAGTGAGTTTTTGAGCGAGGCATCACCCACGAGACGAATTGCCCTTTTTTAGACAGAATTCAACAGTTTCAGGGTATGTTTGGGTGCTGCACTCCAAACATGGGAACAGTATTCCAGGACAAGTCGGATCTGTGCCTTATAGATCATGAGCAGCTGACTGGAAGTGAAATAGCTCCTGGCCCGAAACAAAAAACCAAGTTTTTGGGATGCACGTTTAGCAATTGATCTCACGTGATCTTCCTAAGGAAGGTTATTGCTGATAGTAATAATAATTATATTTGACATCTACGGAATGGGTCGTAGGGTTAATCTTGTTATCATATTAGAAACAATATCAATTTATGAAATGTCCTTACCGGATCTTCCACGCAGCAGAATTATTTTTTTTATCGGTATCACTCATGTTCTTGTTGATAGTGGTTCAGTGGTTCAGTGGTTCAATTAGCAGTTATATAATCTCTTTGAATAGACACTTGTTCAACTAGCTGGGTATAATGTATAAGATATACAGGAACTCGAACCATCCTGTATAAAAACGTATAAGTATAGTACGAATTCGTCAGAAAAATCAGTGCGGTCTCCAAGGATTTGCCTACTTTTTATGCATGATGACTTGGATGCCGTGGCCCTTTTTTTCATTCCCTAGCTGATTATGCAAAGTGAGACGTCTCGACACTTTATGCGGCTCTGAAAAAAATTTTCACTTTACTCAGGGTATATAATAATTATCTTTAACCATGTTGTTGTGAGATTTCAACGAATATTCCACTCATCTCAGAATTCTCACATAATCTGGCCAAACACTAGCTACCATTCAATTCTGATTAGTCTATCAGCGTTTGTGTTTCCAACGATGTAATCATGAAAGCAAAGCATGGTTTGTAGTTTGACATTGAATAATTGTCACGTCAGAATAAATCACTTTGGTCATATGGCTTGTTCATTTATAATGAGTGCTTCTTATACTTCGTGAAATAGTCTCGCAAAATACCACTCTGTTCTGAGTATTGTCTTATAATTCTGTTTCTTATTATTAACTCAGTTGTGTTGCCGTTCAGCAATACGCGGCATAATCTAACCAAGCCAGAGACAACTTGTGCTTATTGCAAAAATGTAATCTGTCTTACAATTCTGATTGGTCTATCAGCGTTCATGTTTTCAACGATGTTACCTTGGAAAGCGAGGCAAAGTCTGTCAGTTTGGCATAAAGTAAGTAGGGCTGTACTTGTCAGAATGAATCATTATAATAAATGCTTTTTATGCTTCGTGAATGCGAAATAGTCTAGCAAAATACCACTCTGTTCTGAATATCTTCTCATAAGTCAGTCGCTTCATTATTCATGGAATCGTGTTGCTTTCTCGAATATTCTGAACATCGTGATATTATATGTACTTATGACTATTCGACTCACTCAAAATACATGTGTTTGATTGGTTGAAATATTTTTCTTTTCGTTTTTGTATATCATGACTTCTGATTGAATACTCAATTCCATATGCTGTGTTAATAGTTTGCTTCCTCATCGGGAATTCAATCGAAAATAAAAGGAAATAATTCACCAACAGCAGGCAACAGGCTGTCATGAATATCATAAATGAATATTTCCTCCAAATGACATTGAAAGTGGATCTTTGATGACTATAGTGTACTCCTACTGCCTAGGCAAACAAAGTTCGTTGCTATGCAACGTTCCAAGTAATTTGAATCCAATTGGTAATCAAAATTGACAAGTACTTTGGGTGAACAAAAAATTAGCGCATAGCATTTTTACTACGATAATCAACAATATACTAATCGTATTACATATTACTATTTCACTCATCACATGATCTGACCAATCTCAAGCCACAGACAACGTGTGCTTATCGCGAAAACATTGGCTATCTTTCCATTCTGATTGGTCTATCAGCGTTGTAATGTAACCATGGAAACAGAAGCAATATCTGGATGTAACCATTGATAGCAAAGCAAAGTCTGTCAATCTGGCATGATATAATCATGACCGTACTTGTCAGAATAAATCACTCCTTTATAATAAATTATAAATGCTTTTTATGCTTCGTGAACATAAAATAGTCAAGCAAAATATCACTATGTTCTGAATATCTTCTCGTTATTCTGTCTTTCATTGTCAATTCAATCTTGTTGCCGTACAGCAATACGTGTTGTCCTGACGGACTTGTGGTGTTGCTCGGCAAGACAATTTCGTGATCTATGAAGCGACAGAATTATCTCGAATATTCAGAAACACCGTGATATTACTTATGACTATTTCACTCATGTCACATAATCTGACCAATAACCATCCAGAGACATCGCGAAAACAATAGCTATCTTTCAATTCTGATTGGTCTATCAGCGTTGATGTTTTCAATAATGTAACAATGGAAAGCGAAGCAAGTCTGAATGTGATCATGGATAGCGAAGCAGAGTCTATCAGTTTGGCATAAAATAATCATGACTGTACTTGTCAGAATGAATCACTCATTGATAAAAAGCGCTTTTTATTCTTTGTGAACGTGAAATATTTTAGCAAAATACCACTCTGTTCTTAGTGTCTCCTCATAATTATTCTGTCTTCCATTGTTAACTATCTATTGTGATGCCATGCAGCAATTACATAATCATCTCGAATATTCAGAAAATCGTGATATTCCTCATGATAATTATTACTTGAATCCTATTCGTGAATAGGTATCACGCAAGTTGAGATGGCAATAAATCCTGTCAGTGCCAGTAAAAGCTACAGTAAATTCCGTTCTCTATCGGTAAATTGAAAAGATCTCGATTGGGTGTAATAATTCAACAGATGCTGGAAAGAATGAGATTTCAATCACTTATCCCGAATAACGGCAAAGCAATAGAGTTACCGAGTGGTTTCGAGCCGAGATTGGTGCAGTAGAACAGCGTCCGTCTCAAGACCGCGAGGTCGGGGGTTCGATTCCCAGCCAGAACCTGGAACTTTTCTCAATTTTCAATTTACGAATTGAATATTGTGAAGTTTTGAAGCATCGGCTGGGGATAGTCCTGCACGTATCGCTGTTGCGTCCAATCAATAGTGCTGCTCTGAAAGTGGTGCATGGAGTTAGTAACAAAGCCTACACAGAACACGCATAGAGAGATAATGATTTGGTTGTGAGCATCAGAGGGAAA